GGCAGGCGGACTCTCAACCACTGCGCCACCAGGGAAACCCTGTAGCTTCTCTTTAGGATAGAAATTATTTCAAAGTAAAATGTGAAACATTCTTCTCCCCTCAAAAAAAGGATAAAGTAAAATTTTATCAATCTTTTTTTAAAAATAGTTTTTGGCTTTCATGCCATGCTTGGGAAAACCTTCTTTATGTCAAAATCATAAGAATAGTCACTGATGTTTTCTTTCTATCGTTTCATTTATTTATGTTGAAATCTTTGATCTATCCGCAGATTTGGTGCGGAAGCAGGAAAATGATCCAGGTTTTTTTTCTCCCAAATGTATAATCAGTATTCCCCACAACATTTATTGAATAATGAATCTTTCCTCACTAGTGTCAAAGGATATGCTTATCATGCATCTATCGTGTGTGTGTATATATATATATATAATATTTATATAAGTATAAAATATATGTTCCATATATAAGTATAAAATATATGTTCCGTATATATGTAATATTTCTTGATATATCCTGGACTTGTTTGTGTTCCTTTGATGTGTTCACTTGTGTGTTTCTCAGTACTTATTTACCCCCTTCCTCCCTAATTTTTCTGGTCATTTTTATGTATTTATTTTTCCAGATGAACTTCAGAACATTTTCCTTGAGGATTATTTGATTGCAGATAACATACAAACCAATTCAAAAGGGTTTATTGGATGTATACAGGACTTTGTCATGTAATTAGAGTAGAACGGGAACAACCAGCCTTATTAAGGGTAAAAAATCATGAAGGACCTGGCAGAAATATTTAGACTATCACTCCTGTCCTCTGCCTTAGCTATTAGGTGACTTAATCTCAACCACCAGCTTTAAAGTCTATTAGTTTGAATTTTGGGAGAAATAACTGAAGTGGTCACTGGCCAACCAATGGATTTTTTCTTTCTGATTCAGGTGCCTGTAAAGGTTGCAGGAGACTGTTTTTATAAGGCGAAAGTTCTCAGAAAATGACTGTGTATTTGGCAGACATCATAAATAATGTCTAGTAAAAGCTTTGCAATATTGAATCTTTCAGTCTAAGAACAATGAAGTTCTTTCCATTTATTGAAATCTCTTCTTATGACCCTTCATAGAGTTTATTAGCTTTTTAAAAAAATATGTTGTCCCTAAATATATGTTTAGATATTTTAGGCTTTTTGTTATTTTGAATGGAATCTTCTTTTTTTTTCATTATATTTATGTGAATTTTTGACTGGTTATTTTTTTGTACATACGAAAGTAATTAGTTTTTATATTTAACTTTAACCATTTATTTTATTGACTTTTCTGATCATTTCTAATCGTCAGTTGTTTCTCTTGAATTTTCTAGGTATAGAGTCATGTTATCTGCAAAGAAAGATTGTTTTGTCTTCTTTATAACATATTTTAATATTTTATATTCTTTTTTTGTTATGTATATATTTATTTATTTATTTGGCTGCGCCAGGTCTTAGTTGCAGCATGCAGGATCTTTAGTTGCAGCATGTGAACTCTTAGTTGCGGCATGTGGGATCTAGTTCCCTGACCAGGGATCGAACCTGGGCCCCCTGCATTGGGAGCGCAGAGTCTTAGCCACTGGACCACCAGGGAAATCCCTATATTTTATATTCTTTAAAAATTCTAGTGTCTTTGTTATGGTCAGAAATAAACCAATAAGCTTATTTTCATTTTGTAAATCAAGAAAAAGGACAGAACTATTGTGTTGCATTTTGGGAAGTCTAACAAAAATGTGAAGCAAGATATTGAACTTCTTGTTGAACTTAACTGGAAGTAATCTATCAGACCAACATGCCAATCATCAGTCTATCCATTCATCCAGCCAGCCAGCCAGCTAGCCAATAAATGTTAATTGCTGCCTTTTTCATAACATAGATACAATAAGAAAGACATAGTCCTCGCCCTTAAAGACATTAGATAGAGGAATAAACACAAAAGCAAGCAATTATAATAGTGTGTAAGGCAAAGTACATGGTGTTAATGAATGCACATAAAAAAGCACCTAAACCTGCCTTGGACAGTCAGGGAAGGCTGCTCGAGGAGGGTAACATCTAAAAAGATTTCTGAAGGAGATATTTGAATGGAAGAAAGGCCACACTGTCAATAAATGCATTATGCCATTTAGTTGCTTTGAAATTTTAGCGATTAGCCATTCTGAAAAATTCATGAATCTCAAGATTTTCAATTTGCCTTTGCAGCTCAAGGGGCCAGTGGCACTCTGGGGAACCCGACGCTGGATACAAGTCTGCTGGAGGAATTCTTGGGCAATGATTTTGATTTGGCGGCCTTGTAAGTAATGAGGGCACTGCTCTCCATTTGGTCGTTTTTTTTTTTATGTTTGACTTTTTTTTTAATATACATTTATTTATTATTTATGTTTGGCTGCGTTGGGTCTTCGCTGCTGCACACGGGCTTTCTCTAGTTGTAGCGAGTGGGGACTACGCTTCGTTGTGGTGTGGTGGCTTCTCTTGCTGTGGAGCACGGGCTCTAGGCACACGGGCTTCAGTAGTTGTGGTTCATGGGCTCTAGAGCGCAGGCTCAGTAGTTGTGGCTCATGGACTTAGTTGCTCCGTGGCATGTGGGATCTTCCCAGACCAGGGATTGAACGCATGTTCCCTGCATTGGCAGGCGGATTCTTAACCACTGCACCACCAGGGAAGTCCCTCCATTTGGTGTTTTTAAAATTATGAAATAATTAAATGAACTGGGAAGTGCTTCCTTCTTTTCTGTTTTCCAGAAGAGTTTGAGTAGAGTTGGTCTTATTTCTTTTACAAATCTTCGGCAGATTTCACCAGTGAAGCCAGCTAGGCCTGGAGTTTTTTGTTTGTATGTTTTTGTTTTTGTTTTATTTAGTTTTAATCTGAAAGCCCTCACCTTCCAATTCAATATCATTAATAGATATGGGGCTATTCAGGTTATCAATTAGTAGTTATCAACTTAGGCAGTTTATATCTTTCAATGAATTTGTATATTTCTGAATTTACTGGCATAAAGTTGTTCATCATATTTCCTTTTTATACTTTTAATGTCTGTAGAATCTATAGTGAACAACAAGTGTTGTTCTTGATGTCAGTAATTCATGTCTTTTTTTTTCTTGATCAATCTAGCAAGAGGTTTATCAGTTTTCCTAACCTTTTAAAGAACTGGCTTTTGGTTACATTTATATTCTTAATTGTTTTTCTGTTTTCCATGTCATTGATTTCTGCTCTTATTTTCTAATATTAATATAGCCATGCCAGCTTTCTTTTAAAAAACTTACATGCAATAAAATTCCATTTTTGTCTTGTGTGTGGTTTTGTGAGTTTTGACAAATTCATAGAGTTGTACAACTACTGCCATGATTACCACACACAACAGTTCCCTCACCTGAAACGTTGCCCCTACATTTCCACTTTGTGGTCAAACCCAACACACACCCCTAACCTCTGGTGACCACTGATCTTTTCTCTGTCCTTATAGTTTTGCTTTTTCCGGAATGTCATATAAATGAAGCCATATGGTATATATAAGTCCAGTTTCTCTCACTAAGCATAATGTCTTTGCTCATTCTTTTTTATTGCTGAGAAAAACTCTGTTGGATTTTTGTAACAGAGTTTGTTTATCCAGTCACTCAGTCAAGGATGTTTTGATTATTTCCAGTTTTTGGCAATTATGAATAATTTCTATAAATATTCATGCACAGGTGTTTGTGTGATCAAGAGTTTTAATTTCTCTAGGGTAATACCTTGGATAGTCTGCTGGGTCGTGTTGTAAGTGGAAACTTAACTTTATAAAAATTGCCAAATTTTCTAGAGTGGCCATACCATTTTACATTACCACTAGCTCTATATTCTAATAGGCGTATAGTGGTATCTCATTTTGTTTTAATTTGCATTTTCCTATCAACGAATGATGTTGAGTCTTATTTCATGTGGTTGTTTGCCATTCGTACGTTTTCTTTGGTGAAGTCTTTTTTCAAATTTTTTGCCCATTTTAAAAAATTAAAGTTTTCTTATTTTTGAGTTTAGAAAATTCTTTAAGTATTCTGGATATAAGAACTTTATTGGGTATGTGATTTATGAATACTTTCTCCAAGTCTATAACTTATGTTTTCATTCTCTTAACAATGTCTTTCCCAGAGCAGAAGTTTTAAATTTTGATGATATCCAATAGATCAAATTTTTCTTATGTGGTTTGTTGTTTATATCTAAGAAATATAGATATTGCCTAATTTAAGTTCCCAAGGATTTTCTCCTGTTTCCTTCTAAAAGTATAGTTTTACATTTAGGTCTATGATCCATTTTGAATTAATTTCCATATAAGTTTTGAGATATAAGTTGAGATTAATTTCTTTGTGTATAGATGTCCAGTTACTTTCAGAATCCCTTGCTGGATAACCTTTCTCTATTGAACTGTCTTTACACTGTTGTGAAAAATCAGATGACCATATTTGTGTGGATCTATATCTAAACTCTTTATTCTGTTCCACTGATCTATATATCTGTTATTTTGTCAGTACCACGTTATCTTGACTACTGTACTTTTATCATAAGTCTTAAAACCATATAGTGTAAGTTCTCCAAATTTGTCTTCTTTTGTAAAATTGTTTTGGTTATTCTAATTCCTTTGACTTCTCACATAAATATTAAAATCAGCTTGTTTATATCTATAAAGTGCTGCTGAGTTATAGATTAGGATTGTATTAAGTATAGAGATCCATTTGGGGAAAATCGACATCTTTACAAAATTGATTCTTCCAATCCTGAACGTAGTATACCTCTCCATTTATTTAGGCCTTCTTTGCTTTTTTTCATCAGCATTTTACAATTTTAGCATACAAATCTTGTATATATTTTGTTTAGATCTACACCTAAATGTTTCATGTTTTTCTTTGAGTTATTGTAAGTAATAGTGGTTTTAAAATTTTTTTCAAATTTAATTCCCAATCATTCATTGCCAGTATACAGAACTATTACTGGTTTTTATATTTTGGACTTAGGTCCTATAATCTTTTTTTTTTAATTTTTTAAATTAAAAAAAAAATTTTTTTATTTGGTCTGGCCACATGGCTTGAGGGATTTTAGTTCCCTGACCAGGGATCAAACCTGGGCCCTGGCAGTGAAAGGGCCGAGTCCTAACCACTGGGCTGCCAGGGAATTCCTGGGCCCTGAAATCTTAATGAAGCCATTTACTAGTTTAAGAGCTTTTTGTAGATTTCTTGGCTTTTTATATCTTGACAATCATGTCTTCTGCACATTGGAACAGTTGTATGTCTTTCTTTCAAAACTGTATGCCTTTGAATATTTTTTCTTGCCTTATTGAACTGGGTAGAACTTTGGCTATGTTGCTGAATAGGGAAATAGAGAGATCAGACATCCTTGTCTTGTCCCTGATCTTAGAGGGCAGTCACTCAATTTTTTATTATTATGTATGATGCAGCTATAAGATTTTTTTGTAATGCCCTTTATTAGGTCAAGGAGATTCTCTTCTACTCCTAGTTTGCTGAGAATTATTTAACATGAATGGCTCTTGAATTTTGTCAAATGTTATTTCTGTATTTATTAATATGATCATATGTTTGTTTCCCCTGTCTGTTATTATGGTGGATTACTTTGCTAATTTTTGAATATTGAACCAACCTTGTATTCCTGGGATAAACCTCAGTTAGTTTTAAAGTATTATCTTTTTATGTATAGCCGGATTCAATTTGCTAAAATTACTTTGAGGATTTTGCATCTATTGGTCTCCAGTTTTCTTATACTGTATTTTTATGGTTTTGATATCAGGATATTGATAGACTTCTAAAATTAGTTGGAAAGTGTTTTTATATCCTTTTAAATTCTCTGGGTGAATTGTGTGGAATTGGATTTATTTTTTCCTTAAATGTTTGATAGAATTCACCATGAAATCTTCTGTGCCTGTAGCTTTCTTTGTTGGAAGACCTTACTATGAATTAAGTTTATCCAATAAATTCAGGACTATTTATGTTATCTCTTTCTGCTTAAATAAGTTTTGGTAGCTTGTTTTCTTTTTTCCCCAGGGAATTGATCCATTTCATTGTCAAACTTATAGGCAAAGAGTTGTTCATAGTATTTATTATGCTTTTATAGGCTTTTACAGGCTCTAAGGAGTCTACTGATATTCTCTTCTGTTTCTTTTTTTTTTTTTTTTTTTATTTTTTTTTTTTTTGTCTGTGTTGGGTCTTCGTTTCTGTGTGAGGGCTTTCTCTAGTTGCAGCGAGCGGGGGCCACTCTTCATCGCGGTGCGCGGGCCTCTCACTGTCGCGGCCTCTCTTGTTGCGGAGCACAAGCTCCAGACGCGCAGGCTCAGTAGTTGTGGCTCACGGGCCCAGCTGCTCTGCGGCATGTGGGATCTTCCCAGACCAGGGCTCGAACCCTGTGTCCCCTGCATTGGCAGGCAGATTCTCAACCACTGCGCCACCAGGGAAGCCCCTCTTCTGTTTCTTATATTGGTAATCACTTTCCTCTCTCTCTCTCTCTTTTAATTAGTCTCTTTAGAAATGTATAAGTTTTAGAAATGTATAAGTTTTGTTGACCTTTTCAAATAAGTGTCTGTTGGTTTCATTGATCTCTATTGTGTTTGTTTTCAATTTCACTGATTTCTACTCATTATTTCCTTCTGATTGCTTTGGGTTTAGTTCGCTCCTCTTTGTTTCGTTTCTTAAGGTGGAAGCTTAGTTCTTGATTTAAAGTCATCCTTTGCTTTCTAATTTAATCACTCAATGCTATACATTTCCCTCTCCATATGGCTTTAGCTGCCTTCCTCAATTTTTGATATGCTATATTTTGATTTTCTTTCAGCTCAAAATATTTCCTAATTTTCCTTGAGACATCCTCTTTAACTCTGGGTGGCTGGAATTGGGTTAATTTCCAAATATTCGGGAACTTTCCATGTATTTTTCTGTCACTGACTTGTAGTTTAATTCCATTATGGACAGAGAACATACTCTATATAATTCTAATTCTTTTAAATTTGTTAAGGTTTGCTTTATGACCCAGGAAATGATCTATCTTGGTGAATGTTCCATGTGCACTTGAAAAGAATGTGTGTTCTGCTGTTGTTGGGTCAAGTGTTCTATAAATGCTAATTAGGTCAAGTTGGTTGACATTGTTTTTCCCGTCTTCTATAGCCTTGCTGATTTTTGTCTACTTCTTTTATCTATTACTCTGAAAGGAATGCCAGAGTCCTCAGGAATGATTGTGGATTCAGAGTCCTCAGTTAAGTTCTTTTTTTCTCAGCACTGTCTTCTGTCTTCCAACCTCTATGGTTTCTGATGAGAAATAGGCAGT